CAAACTCCACGTGGGCCTCAGCCAGCATGCTGAAGAGCAAATCCCCTTACTGGTCATTGCCTGCCATTCTCTCCAACTCTGACAACGGAAGGTTTTGCTCTCAGGTTCCTGGGGATAGGTTGTAGGAAAATAAATTTTTCACAGACATCATTTTCTGACTAGCACCTTCTTTTTCTGGACTTAGGGTACATTTACCTTGCTTAGGGGTGTAGTAAAGAAGGTCGAGGTAGGCAAGAGGGGAATGGTGAGTCCAATCAAAATAATCTTAGCAAGAGGCACCTGGGAACACATACGATTGCCCATCCCTATCCACTGTCATTGTCTTATTGGATCAAGATGTAACTGCCCGGCTCCATATTCAATATTTTGAGTGCTCCCCAAGAAAGTTTCCAGATTTTTTTTCCTTATAAATAGGTCCTGGAAAAATTGACCTGCCAGTGTTCTGGATATAACTGTTGGAAATACTTTTAAATACAGGAATTTAACTTCAAGTTTGAGTCCGCGCTACCTACTAGCATAAAAAATAACCAAAGATTTCCTTAATGTTGATTGCCTATGACCATATTTTTGATTTACAGTGACCCTGATCACCAATTGGTAGCGATGTAATATGAAATCTCTATGAGTAAGCTAAAAATTATAGTTTTGCTTTTTTAAAGCTTGATTTTAGACTAGAAAATGGAAACCCAGAAATGCCCCATGGCACCTTAGCATGAGCCAGACAGACATGTAGACACTCAATTATCCAAATGTGGATTTTACTTTTTAGATAATCAGTATTTCATTTCTTTACAAATTGATCTACAGAGTCATTTTGAAATATTTATAAGGAATAGGTTTATTTTGTGCATAGTCTTGTGTAGGTGAGTAAAATTGTATGAAAAATATACAAATATAGACTTGCATATCTGAAAATCTGTAGACAATCTAAGAGAAAAAGGGCGAGGCATTCTTTAATTATTACAAAAATTAAGTGTTTCTTTGCTGAAACTAGTCTATAAAATGTGTTTTAAGTACAGTATCTACTTTTTGCATTATTTTCCCAACGTAAAATAATTGTATTCCATTTTGAAAGCATAAAAATGGCATGTAGCTTCTAATCAGTTATTAAATGTCTATAATTAAAATAACTTCCTACCATATATCTGAAACTTCAAAGTCTCTTATATTGGTATTTTTAAATAAATATTTTTCTATTGAATATTTGAATAATTTAAATAATAAAGGTATATTATAATCTTAATCTACCTTGTTAGTACTTTGATATTTAATACTACACATTTTTTTCCTATATAGATAGGTTTAAAAAAAACTGAAGCTATATTGTAGGCTCTTTGTAACCTGCTTTTCCATTTCTAACATTAAAACACATAGGGGTTAATAAAATATATTTGTGTGACATACTTTAAAGGTCTTATTTGAATTTTCTTTCCTCCAGACAGATTATTTTTCATTTGTTTGAGAGGTCAGACTTAGGCTACATTTAATTGATGTATTTTGGGACCACAGAGGTAGCAATCCAAGGGCAGCTTGGAATTCTGTTCTGCATATCCAGCCCTCTTGGAAACATTGTTTTCTCCCATTATTAACAAATCTAGTAACCTTCTGAGCACCACCGGGATCTTATGTTAACCACCCTATTTTGAGTGGACCCTCTGTATTTCTTCGGACCCTCATTCACAAGGGTGAAGTTCAAATATCTGGGGCTCATTCAGACACGAGACCAAGACAAGGTGCCCTCTTTGTTTTGGCCTCTGCCTTCTTTCCTTCACTGCCAGCTTGGCAATGCAGTTAAAATACACTTAATATTTTATTCAGGATTTGACTTGTTTTAATCAAAAGGATTGTTCTCTGATATATTCAGCCATACGACACAAATAAAGGTCAAGAATATTTACTTTGTAAGATTGAAAATGTATACTTTCATTTCTATCCTTCCTAAAATTAAATGATCCTTTAATTGAAATATTTCTGAAATAACCAGTTTTACACAATCAAGATTTCTGTACTTGTTTCACTTCTTATTAGCAATTAATTCCAGTCAGTGATTCCAATGCGGGGTTCCCCTTCTCGCATTCCAAGAGCACTTTACAAACACCTAAGTATCCTACAATTTAATTAACTTCTTATACTATGGCACTTACACTGATGTATACTCTAGTATCATATCCCACAGGTTAAGGACTCGGTCCCAAGAGACATCCCTTCCCCACTCCTATTCAGAAGCCAATTGCAAGTAGATGGTTATTAGGTCACTGAAAATTTACCCCAACTTTCTTTCACAAAATGAAGGTTCATGTGATCCAGCTCCTAGGGTTTGATTAATTTGCTAGAGCGGCTCATAGAACACCAGAAACACTTCATTACACTGCCCAGTTTATTAAAGAGTACGATAAAGGATACAGATGAGAAGGCAAATAAATAACTTATAGGGAGAAGTCTGGAGAAATCCTGGGCAGTTTTTTTTTTTTGTCTCCATGGAGCTGGGCTGTGTCCTATGTCCCAGTGGTATATGTGTTCATCCTCTGTAAGCCTTCTGAACCCCTTTGAATTAGGTTTTTATGGGGGCTTCTTCACTAGGCGTGATCCATCTCTAACTCAGTCTCTATTCCCTTTCCCTTCCTTAGAAGGGAGGGAGAGTGGGGAACTGAAAGTTCTAAGCTTCTACTACTGGCATCATTTTTCTGAGGACAAATCCCTATCCAGATGCCATTGAAATACCCAACCTGACTCTCCTCATTAGTAAATATTTCTTTTTAGTTGAGATGTCATAGTTTACAATAGTACTGAAACTGTTTTATTCTTGCATTGCTACTAAACCAGTTCCATCATTAGTGTGTCAGGATTCTTCTACCGTTGTTCAAAGGCTCCTTTCCTCATTCTGGTCAGCTTTACCTTTTCAGTTACTTTCAATTCCATTAATTATGTAGAAGGAAAAGATGCTTCTAAATCTCTTACCACTAGGACATTTAGAAGGGTCTTAGACACTCAGTGCCAGGATCCAGACAGAGGCCAATACATATATGTTGTAATATCTCACAGAATTTATACAGAATTTTCTTTATAAAACCTATATTAAAATGTTGTGGTGCAAATAATAATAGAGCAATTACATGTTTTTTTTTGCTTTTGGGTCACACCCATCGATGCGCAAAGATTACTCGTGGCTTTGCACTCAGGAATTACTCCCTATGGTGCTCGGGATGCTGGGAATCGAACCCGGGTCAGCCGTGTGCAAGGGAAATGCCCTACCCACTGTATTACACTCCAGCCCCGCAATTACTAGTTACCAAATCTCAGATCATGTTTTTTAAGCTAATAGGCTATGTTTGGGGGGTTGGGGTTTTCCGAAGTAACGATAGAATGTGCAGAATGTTTTGTGTATTCCACCATTTGCAGGTCTCTCTTCCATTCCCTATTATTAATACATTGTTACATTAGATGAATCAATATTAGTACACCATTATTTGACATTGTACATTTTAATAGACATTTTGAACCCTTTTAACAAGACAAAAAAAGATATTATTCCTATTTCTAAAATAGGGCTGAATCTGTATTTTTTCACAAATGTGTCAGAATAGGAGTTTGAATGATTATATTCACTTTCCTTCTATTTATTTTAAACAATCTTATATTTCAACTCTATTCTGTCTTATTAAATGTATGGTATTTAATTGTGGGATAAAAGTATTTTTATATCAGACAAATATTAGCATAGGAAATAATTTTATCCTAAAAACCCAACTTCAGGAATAACACACTTAATTTTTCATAACTACTGAATAGGACAGACCTTGGGTTACTTTTTTTCTGTGATCACAGTTATATTGTTATTACTAATTATTTTATGTAGCACTGTCCTCCTGTTGTTCATTGATTTGCTTGAGCAGGCCTAGTAATGTCTCCATTGTGAGACTTTGTTGTTACTGTGTTTGGCATATCGAATACATCACAGGTAGCTTGCCAGGTTTTGCCATGTGGGCGAGATACTCTCGGTAGCTTGCCAGGCTCTCTGAGAGGGGCGGAGGAATCGAACTCTGGTCGGCTGGGTCGCCGCATGCAAGACAAATGCCCTACCACTGTGCTATCACTCCAGCCAAATTATTTTATAGTACTCTAAGGTAAAAAGGTAAAGGTAAAGGCCCTCCCGTTGATCGTCGATTTGCTCGAGCGGGCTCAGTAACGTCTCCATTGGAGACTTTGTTGTTACTGTGTCTGGCATATCGAATACTCTCTAAATGTAATCTAATTTTGTTATTATAAGTTTTGCTTTTTGCTTAATGACAATAAATATAAACATAAAAATATCAATGCTCTAATTATTTTATAATACAAGTGTTCATTTTTGCTTAATAATATTTATTATTGGGGCTGAATAGATAGTGTAGCACATAAGGTACTTGCCTTGCATGCAGTTGGCAGAAGTTTAATCCCCAGCATCCCATATAGTTCCCCCAAATTCCTCCAGGTGTGATCTCTGATCTAGGAGTAAACCCTGAGCTTAGCCGGGTATGGCCCAACCCCTCTCCCCCAAAGAATAATTTTCACACTTGGTTATGGATTTGTTTAATAATACAACAGTATTGAAAAGGAAATAAAATGTCATTTATTTTTTGAAGAGTCATTACACAGAGAGAGAGTTACATCAAGAGCAAATAATCAATACAAATAGTCATTTATATTCATTGAGTTACAGTGTCAGGAGCAATTATGTTATAGTGAAAAAAATTCAATACTGATTCTTGCGATCTAACATGGATTACATGCATCTCATTTATTTCAAGTATGCTGAATATTGGCATACTTGATTCTACCAGCCCATCTTTCAACTCTTGCTTAGTTTTTGAGACACCTAGAGGAAATTACTCTAGTTAAATATTGTATATATTTTTGCATGGCCATAATTAATTTTCTATAATATTTAATGATTTCAAATAAATCTGTATTTTCTCATATTAATCGAAAATTTATTAATGTTTCTATATTTTGTCTTACAGTGACTAATCATCCAATACTCAAGAGAGCAGATATCAGAATTGTTGGGAAGTTAGTTGCCAGATCTATAAGAGAAAGGAAAATAAGACAGCACCGTTTATTGTAAGAAGCATCATAAGGTTTTGTTAAAAGTTGAAGCTATCTGCTAGAAGAGCTAGATTAACATTAACCATAAATCTCTAGCAGCAAGGAAAAACAAGCATATTTGTATCCAAAGAAGGACTTCAACAAATCAGTTTATGACATCTAAATATCTTTGACTGAACCATTTATGATAGCTTCTTCATATGGAACATCCATTTTATCATAATGAAGTTAAGACACTCATAGTGTTAAGTATTCCTTTCACCATACTTAATGTTTTGCTCTACAATGAATAAATAAATACAGTGAAAGAGCTATTAGATCCTTATTTCTAAATATTCTCTTAAATATTTTAGAAATTATTTTTCAAAATGTGTTATTAACTTACTGATTGAATTAGTATAGTAACAGCATTACTTTTATTTTTATGGCTCCCTACCATGAAGTGAAAATCTAAAATTTAATATTCAATATTCCTGAGTCACTTGCTTCAAGGAAATATTTCAAGCATCCTGTTTAATGCTAGATCCTTAAGAATTTGGAATTCCTTTTTATTATCATCCATTCTACCATCATCCAGTCAGCAGCCTTCATTCATCCATTCACACATATAGTCACTGTTTTATGAATGGGATGGCAGGACAAGTGAAGAAGGAGAAGTTGAAAGAAAAGAATCTATGGATGACATAGGTGAGGTATGAATAAATGTAGAAATTCCTTCAGGTATTCCAGTTTTCCCATTTTTTAACCCTAATATATCACTTCTGTAATTGACTCTCAGTTTAAAGAAAAGAATCTCTCTGGATACTTCTTGCAGTGGCTTTTACTGTGGAATACATATGTAATTTATTAAAATGAACTCTTTAGAGAAACCAGCATGTCATGTTTAATGAGGAGTTCCTCCAAACTAAGCCAATTGAACTTTAAAAACAGAGAGAGAGAGAGAGAGAGAGAGAGAGAGAGAGAGAGAGAGAGAGAGAGAACAGTAGGTAAGGCACTTTGCCTTGCAAACTGCTGACCTAGCAGTTTTGGTGCCCAGCATCACATATGGACCCCTGAGTCCTGTCAGGGATCATCCCTGAGTGCAGAGCTAGGAGCATACCCTGACCCTGAACACATCTGAATGAAGACCCAAAACAAATAAACAGAACTTGCCAATGCTTTAACTAGAAAATGTTAATAGTTAAATACTTGGTTGGTGGGAAATTGATTATCTGATAAATGTAGAGGTTAGTGTATCTAAAGCCTTAATTATCCATATTTTCCTATTAACAATCAAGTTACATTTGAAAAAGAAAATTTATATTCTAATACTAAAGCAAACTATCATGCCAAAAAAGATAAAATAAATGACACATAAATTGAATAATTTTAATTCATTTTGGGCTTAATTTTGGTGAGACTCTGACATGATAATATATATCAATTTGCTCCTTTTTATAGCATTAATAGGATTAAGATTAAGCTAGTTTTCTGATACTACTAATCCAAAGTATTGAAAGGAAAATCACAGAGTACTAATGAAAGGCACTTAATGACACTAATACAAGATTTTTTATTGAGCATAGGCTAATGTGTCAGTATTTCAAATGACAAATATATTCATGAGAAAAATCAAAATTACCTTACATAATAAAATATACAGATTAAGTTTAAATTATTAAAATCGGGAGCAGTCTACCAAAAAGTTTCTTTTCCCTTTAGTACAATGATACTGATCTTATCCCATGTTCCATACCTTTGCTGATCCCGATTTTAAGTGATCTGAAGTAGAGCTACAAAGTGTCTTTGAGATATGGGCTCCGACTTTAAGTTCAGTGACAATATGTCACTCTGGAGCCACGGAAGACAGTGTAAGGTCAGGGAATAGAAGCCTTCACTTTTCAATAGTCCTTTTCTCTATAAAAATTGGCACTTAAGGCTCATCAAAGAACAAGAAATATTGGATATGCTCTAAATGTCCATTGTGTGTTTGAGCCAACTACCTGATGGAAGTCATCACTTATATGTAAATGAACTGTCAATGGCTTACCACTGTTGGCAGTCACTGGACTGTGAAGGGTACGTCTTAATAAGAACCAAAGCTCTTCACAGACTTTGATTTACTGGAAATAAAATAGGAAAGTCCTCTGAGACTACAAAGGACACTTGTTTCAGATAAAACGTCTAGACAGAAGCAATATATTTAGGGCTTTTATTATAGCAAAACTGCAAATTAGAATGGAGCAGTGAGAAAGTTCTTGTGACCCAGCTGAGTTCTAAAACACTGCTACTGACTGGAGCCATGCAACCTTTAAAATAGGCAAGCTAAATTAAATCAAAGTATGCTAAGAAACAAACCAGAAACAATGGAAGGGCAAGATACAGGACTGTTGTGCATTTTATATTGCCTATATCTTACAATTTATGTTGTCTTCTATCTGTACATTTATATTTTCATTTATCAAAGAGCTTGGATATATTTTTATTTTTTAATTTTTTTATTAAATCAATGTGAGATAAACAGTTACAAAGTTGTCCATGACTGGGTTTCAGTCATACAATGTTCCAACACTGTTCCTTCACCAGTAGTTTGCGTTTCTAAATGTGTGTAACTGTTATAATAGTTAAAAAGTAATAAATATCTCTGATCCTGCAGTGTAGACTACTCAGAAAATTCAGCATCAAGGTAACTTTTCCTTATATAATCGAGGATTAAAGCTTTTAAAACTTGCTCCCTTCTCTTTTCCTTTAATACAATATGATTGTTTAAAGGGTCCTCTAAAAAATTTGGATTCCCTGAGATTATGAAAGACCAGCTGGCATGACACCTGTAGCGTGGAGGATATGAGGAGTCCTTGGAGACACAATCTTATTCCATTGTATGAGCACTGATAAGGCTCACCTAGAACCTTCAGGCGCTTTTTTCTAATAAGGCCCTACTAAGCCCTAGTCAGACCATAATAGCAATCAGTAGAAAATGGGGGCTCTCTTTAACCTCCACTCACCTTTCTTTTCACTCCTGTACTGAAAAAAAAATACATGCCCTGATGAAGTTTCTCCATCATTTTTGTCACCTTCCTCTCATGAATATCTATGAGTTTCCTGGAAAAAAAGAGGGACAAGTGTGTTGGGTGTAAAACCAGACCCCACTTCCTCTCCTCAATGCTTGTTCTCTAGCTTTCTAGCCTGTTTGGGTAGATATGCTTCCCAGATCAATTTACTTCATTGCCAATAAAGTCTCTTTTTTCATTCAAATGCCCATGTCCTTTGGATGGCCTACTTGCTTGTCTGTTTCTTCTTGCAACTTCCATTTAAAACACATAAATGTGGCCAGAGCGGTAGCACAGTGAGTAGGGCATTTACCTTGCACATGGCTTACCCCGGTTCAATCTCTAACATTCCATATGGGCTCCCAAGCACCACCAGGAGTGATTCCTGAGCACAGATCCAGGAATCCAGGAAAATCCCTGAGCCTCGCTGGGTGTATCCCCAACACAAACAAACAAAATCCCTCAAAAATGAAATATAGTTGTATGTAACTATAAATATTTTATAAATATTTTAGTAGTAAGAATATGGTCTTCAGCTATATAGTCTATATATATAGTCTATAGTCCAGGACTAGCCACCACCATGCTGAGACCACTCTCCGCGCACCTGAAGGTGCCGGCAGAGGAACAAAGGCAAGCGGGTCCCTCCCGGGGCTGAGATCTCCAAGCCTACAAGGATCGGGGCTGAGCATCCTCCACCCAGATCCTCCGAATTCCAGTAGGGGGGGTCACACCCACCAACTGGCCCCCTGGCGCCGTATAATCCCGTCAACGGCCAAGACTCAGAGACTCTAAAAACCAGCTTTCAGAACCACTCGGCCGCATTCGCGGCCGCGCGACATTTTATTATGACATCTTATTATCTCATTCCTACTTTGGACAAAATGGCAGGCTACCGAATGTAACCTGCCCAATGGCAGAGTCTGGCCAACTCCCCGTGGCGTACCCAATATGCCAAATACCAGTAACAATGATGGGTCTCATTCTCCTAAATAGCCTTGAATATAGCACTTTCTTAAAAATCTCAGGGCTAGGATGAAGGAGACATTACTGGGGCCTGCTCGAGGCAATCGATGAATAATGAATAAGAATATAGTGATCCTAGCGTTAATAAGTTAATAAGAATATGAGACTCCATGCCAGGCTGTGGGGCAGGTGAGAGCCCTCCCCACCCCAAGGGATCCAGCCCCGGCAGTCAACCTCCACTGCCCAGCCACTGCCATGGAGAACTTTGTGACCTTGGACTCTGGACTCAATGGGACCAGGAACAGAGACTGCTTCCCCCAGTCTCAGGTGACTCAGAGATCACACTCATAAGCCACACCCTGCTGGCACCAGATAATCTCATCTTTCACCCTCCAGAATTCACAGATGCTCCTCCCAGATGAGGTATAAAAGGAGGCTCCCAGAACCGTGTCACCAGACTCTGTGCCAGGCTGTAGGGTGGGTGAGAGCCCTCCCCACCCCAAGGGACCCAGCTCCGGCAGCAACCTCCACTGCCCAATCACCACCACACTCAGGCCACTTTCTGGACCACACAGCCGCTTTGCGGCTGCGTGACACATTATAAGACATTATAAGACACTTCCTACCCATTTATTTATGCCTCTCAGAGAGCCTGGCAAACTACTGAGAGTATCTCATCTGCAGGGGCAGAGCTTGACAAGCTCGGCATGGCATATTAGATATGCCAAATACAGTAATGACAATAGGTCTCATTCCCCTGACCCTGAAAGAGCCTCCAATCATTGGGAAAACAGGAGTAAGAAGAGGCTGCTAAAATCTCAGGCTGAGAGAAATAGAGACGTTACTGGCATCCACTCAAGTAATTCGATATTCAATGGGATGACAGTGATATAGTGATCACTGTCACTGTCACTGTCCTCCCGTTGTTCATCAATTTGCTCGAGCAGGCCCAGTAACATCTACATTGCGACACTTGTTACTGTGTTTGGTATATCGAATACGTCACCAGGTAGCTTTCCAGGCT